AAAGTTTCGTCGGAACGAAGTTACGGAAAGTTAATTAACAAACGGAGACGTAACAATATGTTTCAAAGTCCTTTCACTGAATGCAGTTGAAACAAGATATAAATTTTGTTAACCCTGGATAGGTGCCACATCTGCCTTCTATGATTAACGTTGACTCTTAGAAGTTACTTGTACTTTCAACATGTACGTGTTTAGAAAGAGCTCATTTTACACTATAATCCAACAATGGTTATATTGAAATTGTCGTTGGGTACACGCAACTGCTTTTAATTGTTGGCTGTTGTTTCGTACCTGAATATGTTATAGTTAGGGAGACAGTTAAATTGTATGTAGGTTTTACTTTTATATTTTAGTTACATATTATTTATATTTTAATATTCAAATGTGAAAGATTTGGCAACTTTCTAGATATATTATAATGTAACCTTTGCTCCACAAATCTTATAACACAAAGTTTGTACAAATTGATTTTGCTGGAGGCGAATGTTTCTCTGCCATAAATACTATTCTGTTGCCCACGCGCACCCAATGACACGTATGGACATAATTAATGGTTAATAACAGGAACGGCAAATGAAATATAAAAATTAAGTTATTAGTGAAAATGTAAAGACATGAAATTATGCATATAAATCATAGAAGATATTTTAAGACTACTCTATGAAGATAAGTACACATTTCCATTTATTAATATTAAATATTTCATTGCTCTGTATGTTGATAATAGCTAGAGTTAGTGATATAATGGAGAAAATGAAAAATAAAATAAACATTTACCTTTAAAAACAAACTTAATATTCACTTAGGAGATTGTAGAAATTATGCAAATGAAATGTGAAAACTAAGATAACAAGTAGCATTTTTTTATACTCAACATGAAAATCACCTTGCAGGTGAACTATTCAGAGTCAGAGTGCAAAAAACTGTATTAAATAAATTTATTACAAATAGAAGAAAAAAATCACACTTAAATGTTTTATTTTTTTCTGAAACATCAGACTTTTAGGAAAGTTGTCAAATTTCAATCTCATCCACTAGTTTTATTTTTGGAACAAAATTTTATGATAGTGACATTAGGTCACTTACAATATAAGGACTCGATAGCCATAGTGTTAGTAAGTGTGATTAAGGAAACGTATGTAAGGTGTTACGTCTCCGTTTGTTAATTAATTTTCCGTA